GAAGTGGCTACACAGGAAGTCAAAACTGATTCAAGCATAGGGAGTTTTGACTTCCATGAAGAGTCAAAACTGGTGTTGCTGACGGGTTGAAGGTGCTGTGACGTCTGCCGAAGGCACAGCTGCGCCGAAGAAGATGTGCCTTTAGACTGTGCTCGAATTTGAAGTCATCCTTTATCTTCAAATGAAAATTAGATGAAATTAGAAAAGCAGTTGAACCGAGGCAACGAAAAACAAGCAAAAAATGGGTATTTTATTGAGCCAATAATAAATAATTCTCAAACGTACTAAATGCAAACATTTGTGTTTCAAACGAAACCATATTCTAATCATAGATAAGTACTTATGCATTTTTCTATGTCCATTTAATTTCGATGCCGTAATAGCGGTTTATAGCGGTTTCAGCATTTATTATGCCATGGGCCTATTTTTTCAACGCCGACACTTCTATTCTATTCTATAGGTCTGTCGCTGATTCCTAACATCGCAGAACATCCACAGATTGTCGCCGTCTCGAACTCGCAACTCACTGCTACAATTCTGCTGTGCTTAATTAACCTCCCGGCCTCCTTGCCGATTCTGACTAGAAACTTGGGCACAGAGCTGGGATCGAACGGGCGCCTCTCTGCGCCAATCTTGGTTGTCAACCACCGAGAGCCTTGTACGCACCATGGCGTACAAGGCTGCTCATATATGAAGCTTCTTTTTAGCGCATTTTCTCATTTATGGAAAAAATGCACTATTGTGCTCGCCATGTCCGTCTGTCCGTCCGTCTGTCCGTCCGTCCGTGACCTCAAGTTTTCGTCGACGAGAAAATGCGCTCTCTGTCACTTACTGCAGAGTACTGAGTTATAGTTTTTTCTTTCTCTATTCAGATTTGCTAAAAATAGTCAACTATGATCGAAACACTAAATTTCATCATCGAAAAAAATTAATTTGTCTATTCTAGATGATTTTGCCAAATTAGTGAATGAAGAAAATGAAGTACACCATTGTACCGTCACTCATGCTTTACCCGGTTATGAATTCAACATTTCAGATATGGTATTCTGGCCAGTGAATGAATTTTGAAGAAATTCAAATGAAGAAATTTTCCACTATATTACTTTCGGTTTTGTTGGTTTCGGTTTTATTATAATTTTGCTTTCAGTTATTAAAAACATTGCGAATAATTTCTTTGCGCGGGGAGTCTTTTTTTTAAGTCAATATCACCTTCAAGGACAATTCAATAAATAGTCTAACATGTATTTAAAACTGATTTGCATCTTAGTTTCATGCTTTTTACTTTATTAATTTTCTATGTTGGTGTCCGAAATTTCAAAATTCTGTAAAATTGTCAATGATTGATATCAATATTTAATTTAAACAATTTTTTATGTTCATTGCTCTGCTTTTTCTTACATGATAATTTATAGAAGCCCCCCGTATCGGACCTGTGAGATTTTAATTATGTACATTGGCAGAGCAGTTTGTAAAAAAAACTTTCTGAACACCGTAACTACAATTCTTACCGCAGACTCTTTTATTAAAAACACGGAATAAAAAGGAACAATTCAGATCTAGATAAGAATTAGAGGTAATACTATTATAACATTCGAGTATGGTTGCGGCTGATTATATTCGCTCTTTACTCAATCCTGGAATTGGCCTCTCTACTGTGACGGCGATATAAGCGGTAACGAACAAGCGAATTTACGTGGTTGTCTTGTTCGATAAAAAATCTATCTGAGTAAAAGATCTACCAAATAATATTATATAAATAGTCAAATAATATTATATTGTAGATCACGTGATGATTTTTTCAAATTCTATCATTTCATGCAGTACACTGAACGTTGAACGTTGATTGTGTCTGACTCCAGTTTCCTCCTCTGCAAGTTGGGATTTTGAAATCGCTGGCATGTTTTAAACATGGAAAGCTTATCACAACAACGCTTTCAGTTCATATACTTTGAAATTCCAAATGTATAGGTTTTTATGTTTCTTTGGCGTTACTCAGTTTTGAGTCTCTTTCACGTTTATTTAAATCTTCACTGAAAATTTAAATCGTTTATTTTCACTTCATTCTACGTTTAAATTTTTTGTGAACATGCGATTAAAGCAAACTAATCATATAAGCGCTTTCACATTCTTGTTTTCTTATTCTTATTAATTAGACTGGCAAATTAGACTGGCAAAATACGGCAAAAATAAATGCAATAGTAACAATAATATTTCTAACAGTAATTATACTAAGGTCCTTTTAATTAAAAGCCTAATTCTTCGGTACTTCTAGTAGATCAGTTCTCAGAAAATTGAAGTCCAAATCATTTTTGACTGGAAGGGTTATTGTAATAAAAGAGCATTTATTGATTTGAATTTATAANAGAGGCATATATATAATAGATGCTAGTGTGTTGGATCGCTACTTCCGAAGATTTACAAATAAAATATTGGTCATTAACTTATAGATCGATTGTTTCGGATTTTTAGAACCACAGCGTTGGTATAACTTTACTTATACCTTAATGTACATACCAGCCGTCACTGCCGGATCCAAGGCGTCGGAGAAAGGGGTTATGTTCGCTCCCCACCTCCTCTCCCCAACGTCCCCAGAGAGGGAGTCCATACCTCCTCCCACCGTCCGTCCCCTCCCACCAGCAGGGCTACCCCTGGTGAGGGAGAGACCGCGGAAGCGCGCCAGCGGATGGAAAGGCAGGAACCGCTTCCTCTCCGCACGCTGGCCAGACTGCCATGAGTCATAGCTCGGCTGCTGCAACCAGATAATGGTAATGGTAATGGTAATAGTAATAGCAATGGTAATCGTAATAGTAATAGCAATGGTAATCGTAATATTAATAGTAATTTATGCCGAAGATTTAACTGCCTTTTCTGAATTTTTCTTCACCGCCAAATTAACCAATAAATTTGTATCACTTATTTAAGGGGCTATTATATGATATTAGTAAAAGCAATAGTAATGGAAATAGTAATGGTATTAGTAATGGTAATAGTAATAGTAATGGTTATAGTAATAGTAATAGTAATAGTAATAGTAATAGTAATAGTAATAGTAATAGTAATAGTAATAGTAATAGTAATAGTAATAGTAATAGTAATAGTAATGGGTTTAATCGAAGATAAATCATTGTTCGGAGACGAATGAGAAAACTGTCAAGCTATAAAAATGCCATTTAATAAAAACTGTGCAGTGAGGTCATTCCAAAATCCCACTCATACAAGAGTTCCTCAGAAAATTGAAATATTTATGACGAAATAATCGTTTGAATTGAGTTAATAGTGCTGTTGAATATCCTATTAACACTCGCATTACTTTCGGTTTAAATTCATGTAGAATAAATCATCGCGTAAACGTTATCTACGAATAAATTTTTGTCAATGTGTGTAGATTAATCCTTATACTAATGCTTCGCCTATCAATGCACTGCAATTAAGATTAAACGGTGGCTTTGTGACATTACTTGATTTGTCTTTAGATCGGAACAAAGGAAGGAAAATCATGAAATACTCACATTTTCGTCATATTAATTCTACGGAATTTACTCCGAATATTTCATTACCTTTTCTGAATTTCCCCCACTACCAAATTACCCAATAAATTTATCACTTATGTAACGGGCTATTATGTGTGATATTACGATAATATTATTTGGATTAAATAAGATAATTATTATAACTTTTATATCCACCTTGTAGTTGTAGGCCTGGAACCAGCGAGGGTATTCTCTTTTCAGCCTGGTGGCTGTGGGATCAGATGCAGCGCGACGCATCAGGTGCAGGGGCATGACCACTTCCTTATGCAGCTGCACGTGAGGCGCTAGTGCACCTGACGTCAACTCCCCATTTGCTGCTCGTGGCAAATGAACAGTTTCATAATTTTTAAAAACACATCAGATTAATGGCTTAATTGAAGAATATAATTTTTTATTATCCCGATTTGGGCAGGTATTTCTTATTAATCCGGACGACCAATGATTTCTCTTCATAGAAGAATCCAGAGCCGTGACTATTTAGGAATTTTGGAGTACCAAGTTCATCCAATGTTTCAAGCACTTTTTCCGGAGGGGATCGCCATCTTTCAAGATGATATTACCCCGATCCATACAGCTGAAATTGTTGAAAATAGCACGAAGAACATTCTAACGAAGTTAAGTATCTCATTTAGCTCCCACACTCACCAGACCCAAATATTATCGAGTATTTATGATCGATTTTAGAGATGAAAGGCAAAAGTCTTTATCGTCTTTAAAAGAGCTGGAGGCAGTTTTGACTACTGAATGGGTCAAAATTTCTTTGGAGACAATTCACAATTTGTGTCCATCAATACCTCGGATAATTAATTGAGGCTGTAATTACCGCCAAAGGTGGACGTACATGATAATAGAATATATATCGTGGATTTCTCAGGTGCTTTCGAGGCTCGCTACGTATTTAGGACTTGAACCTTTACCGCAGAATCCAGGATTGAACTTATAAATTAATCTACACTAGCATTCAATCATCAAATTTTGGACAGATTACTTATACTAATTCGCCTATATTATTTATTATTTATTACATCACAACTATTTAATAACTATTTATTAAATAGTTTTATTAAACTATTAAATAAATAGTTTCATAATTTTTAAAAACATATCAGATTAATGGCTTAATTAAATAATATAATTTTTTATTATCCAATATCATTCGAATACTTATAAATAAATAAATTTATATCACTTGCGGAAGTTTTTTTATAAGTTATTACACTTGGTCATAGATACAAATGTAATATCATCTTAAGAATTATTGCGCACGAATTACGAATTTACTTATCGTCGAGTTACAGAAGTATATGAATTTGAAATATTTGAAACCTTTGTTCTCATATACAAATGCTTCAGATCGTTTAGAGTGACGTAAAACCTTCCAGAATTAGTCCCTCGTGCAGTGGATTTATGTGATTTTTTCTCACGAATCATCTTTTACCTTATTCTACTTTTGAGTTTACTTTTATAGACAACCGAAATAGTAATTTAATCCCGATTACCTCCTCCCAACCGTAAAAAATGGTGGGGGATCTGTGAAGATTTGAGGCTGGTATTTCTTATTAATCCGGCGGACTAATGATTTATCTTCACAGAAGAATCCAGAGCCGTGACTATATAGGAATTTTAGATTACCAATTTCATCCAATGTTTCAAGCACTTTTTCCGGAGGGGATCGCCATCTTTCAAGATGATATTGCCTCGATCCATACAGCTGAAATTGTTAAAAATAGCACGAAGAACATTCTAACGAAGTTAAGTATCTCATTTAGCTCCCACACTCACCAGACCCAAATATTATTGAGCATTTATGATCGATTTTAGAGACGAAAGGCAAAAATCAATTTCCACCGTCATCGTCTTTAAAAGAGCTGGAGGCAGTTTTGACTACTAAATGGGTTAAAATTCCTTTGGAGACAATTCAAAATTTGTGTGTATCAATACCTCGGATAATTGAGGCTGTAATTACCGCCAAAGGTGGACGTACATGATAATAGAATATATATCGTGGATTTCTCAGGTGCTTCCATTATTTTGTCTAGCCCCCATATAGGGGTTATATATATCATTTATAAATAGATATATATATATATATAAATCTTTTTTTCAGAACACATGGCCTCACAGAAATCAAGTACTTCAAGCGACTATTAGTATCCTTGTTGCTGTTTCCTTGTTGTATTCACATCATTGGTCCTGTCTCTTATACACATCTAGATGTGTATAAGAGACAGGTATTGGCCTANACAATAGGGAGCAACTGCTAGATGTGGGATCGGTGAGAATACAATAGGGAGTAACTGCTAGATGAGGGATCAGTAAGAATACAATAGGGAGTAACTATTAGATGAGGGATCAGTAAGAATACAATAGGGAGTAACTGCTAGATGAGGGATCAGTAAGAATACAATAGGGAGTAACTGCTAGATAAGGGATCAGTAAAAATACAATAATCTAAGCTGAAAACTTGCTGCAGCTCAAACACTAGGATAGCACTTGCCGTTCATTTGTCAATGAAAATAACGTGCCCTTGTGAAAATAACGTGTAACGTGCCCTCGAAGTTCGATCTGAACGAGACGCCACGACAATCTCTTCGTGGAATAATAATAATACAATAAACAAGGCATCAATAATGATAGTTTTGTCTATCTGCAAGCTAAGAAAAAATGGCTATCCAAGGAACTTTAATGACGTAGCTCATAATTTATGTATCATGAAGCTTAATAATGAAATTGTGCTCTAAGGTAAATAATTACCAGTAGAAACCTTTACGGAACTGGTAACTGTGGACTATTATTTTGGCCACCTTTATCACAGGAAGAAATATAATATTTGGCTTTACTTTAATGTATTGGTACGTGAGTTGAACTAAAGAAAACGAAGCGTCGATGTGAGGACGGTTATGAGAGGCCATTTGGCCGGGCGTATGAGGGCTAAAAGCGACGCGTTACCGTGAGAGCCTCACAGCGTGACGCTGCACCACCGCGGCCTTGTGGTGCACTGCATTGGTGAGGCTTTGAAGTGCACTGCACTGCAGTGTCATTGTGGTGCACTGCATTGCTGTGTCTTTATATTGCACTGCACTGCAGTGTCACTGTGGTGCACTGCATCGCTGTGTCTTTATATTGCACTGCACTGTAGTGTCACTGTGGTGCACTGCATCGTTGTGGCTTTATATTGCACTGCACTGCAGTGTCATTGTGGTGCACTGTTGCCTTGTTGTGAACTGAACCGTTCAGGCTTCATGACGCACTGCATCATTGAATTTTAATAGTGTCTCGCATTATGGTAATTTTGTGACGCATTTCTCCTTGGTGATCAGGTGGTGCACTGCACTATGACAATCTTTTGGTTCACTGCACCACAGAATCATAACACACAATATATGCTGTCTCTTATACACATCTAGANGATACACGTTTGTGTGTACGGTACAGTGTGATTACGTAATTTGCATTGCCGCGCGTCCATATTTAAACTATTTTAGCTTTCTAAAAGTACGGCGCTGTCGGCGCATGGCACATTTTTTTACCGGCATAGTACGGCGCACCGCGCAGGTTGTTAAAATGACAATATAAATTCCCGCGCACCTGGCACATCTTCCTGACCATGGGTCACTCACTAGTAGGGTTGGTATTTCGATATGTTTTCTTATATTGACATGAGAATATGTTACCTATACAGAATTCCACACTGCCTGAGGCTGCCCGTCTCTTATTACCCTTTTTGACAGGACGTACCTAAGTTAATGACTCAATGTCTAAGTTCCATAGTGGCCAAACCAGCAATTTTTAGGGAAATCATTTCATCTTTATTTTCTTCATATTCTCAAGATTCAAACCAATATTTTATGTATACTAATGCTGGTATCCATGATACTTTCCTTGTCTACTTGTAGGACTCAAAATTGAACTTTAACTGATGAAGAGTCTAAAAAACTCTCTGCCTTGCCATGACAACAGTTAGCTATCTGAATTTTAAATAAAACACTCTCTCTAATCTCTATTACTGTGATAACTCACCAATTTTGAATGAATAACTAAGCAGAGCAACAAAAAATATCCAAAATTCCATAGCAGTAATCTCAAACGGTTTAATTGCAAAAGAAAAAATTATCTGTACTCTCAACGAGTAAGAAATTGCATGACCGGAACGACGCCACACCTATTCGATTTCGAAATTTGGATGAGAGTCAACACTCAACTGGTGGAGGTGATCCTAAATACCGGAACTTGTCAGCCGCGATTCATTTCGCATTGAAATCCTTTTAGTTTATTTTAGTCGCTCAACTCGGAAAATAATTGTTAATAATCACATGTCGACTTTTTTCTCGTTTTTTCATAATTTGTAAAAAATTTGAAGCACACCAGAGGTAGGGAAAAATTAAAACAAGGCTTGTACGCCCGTCTGAAAAAGAATTTAGTTACCTCTACCATCTTTGGCTTATGTTACAGGGCATCAAATCTGCAGCAACTGATTTTATCTCGAGCTCCTGCTTATAGCGTCCACCGTTGATAAGCGATCTGTTGCCACGTATTCTGGATCATCCCATAACTCAAGTCCGCCACCCTCGATGAGCATAACATAGGAAGTCTCACTATATGTAATGCACGAACTATTAGCAACGCGACATGAAGTGGCTACACAGGAAGTCAAAACTGATTCAAGCATAGGGAGTTTTGACTTCCATGAAGAGTCAAAACTGGTGTTGCTGACGGGTTGAAGGTGAAGAAGCTGTGACGTCTGCCGAAGGTACAGCTGTGCCGAAGGAGATGGTGTGCCTTGGGACTGTGCTCGAATTTGAAGTCATCCTTTATCTTCAAATGAAAACTAGATGAAATTAGAAAAACAGTTGAACCGAGGCAACGAAAAACAAGCAAAAAATGGGTGTTATATTGTGTCAAAAATAAATAATTATCAAACGTACTATATGCAAACACTTGTGTTTCAAACGAAATCCTATTCTAATCATAGATAAGTCCTTTTGTATTTTTCTATACCCTTTTAATTTCGATGCCGTAATAGTGGTTTCAGCATTTATTATGCCATAGGTCTGTCGCTGATTCTTAACATAGCAAAACATCCACAGATTGTTGCCGTCTCGAACTCACAAATCATTTATTCAAATTCTGCTGTGCTTAATTAACAGCCCGGCCTCCTTGCCGATTCTGAGCAGAAACTGGTGCACAGAGCTGGGATCGAACCCGCGCCTCTCTGAATGGGGTAAGTGTGGAGGTAGAAGATGCTGGTGAGCGTTAGGGCTGGGCTTACGCCTGCGAAGTGGGTAAGGTCATGCGACAGTCCGGTGCGGTCTGC